TTGAATAAGGTTACTATTCGTAATAAGCATCCTTTGCCCAGGATCGATGATCTTTTTTATCAGCTAAAAATAACTACATACTTCTCTAAGATTGATCTGTATTCTGGATATCATCAACTTCGAGTTAGGGACCAACTTGGATTGACTAATGCACCAGCAGTCTTCATGGATTTAATGAACAGAGTCTTTAGGGTTTACTTAAATCAATTTGTCATCGTGTTCATTGATGATATTTTGGTCTATTCTAAGACAGAGGACGATCATGTTAAACATCCTCGTACAGTGTTGCAGACGCTTCGTGAACACCAGTTATATGCCAAATTCTAGAAGTGTAAATTTAGGCAGCGAAAAGTGAAGTTTTTGGGTCATACAGTGTCAGAGAAGGAAATAGCGGTGGATCCAGCTAAGGTTTCAGCAGTGGTAGAGTGGGGACAGCCTACTTCACTTATAGAGATTTCAGAGTTTTTTGGCACTGAAAAAATACTATCGTAGATTCATCAAGGATTCTCAAAAATAGCGGGACCACTCACTCATTTAACTAAGAAGGGTGTACGGTTCATATGGGATAAACACTATCAAAAAGCTTTTGATGAACTAAATAATAAGTTGACTTCTGCACCGGTTTTGTCTACTCCACAGAGCGAGATAGAGTATCTTTTCTACACAGATGCTTCTTTGCAAGGTCTTGGGTGTATTTTGATGTAGGAGAAGCGACCAATTTTGTATAGTTCTCGTAAACTTAAGCCTCATGAGCTTAATTATCCAATACATGATTTGGAGTTAGCAACTGTGGTCTTTACCTTACGCATTTAGAGGCAATATCTGTTGGGAGAGTCCTTCAGGTTATTTAATGATCCCAAGAGTCTGCAGTATTTATTCACTCAGTGGGAGCTGAATATAAGACAACGTCGATGGTTAGAATTTGTGAAAGACTATCATTTCTCTATACAGTACCATCCGGGGAAAGCAAATGTGGTGGCAGATGCACTCAGTCGCTGACCTTCTGCGAGTTTTTCTGTATTATTCGCTATCGAATGGAATGCTTTGAAGACCGTTGATGAGTTGTCTGATGCTTTTGTAATGATCCGGTCATTTTCCTTCTTTTCTTTTTTTTGATAAATTCTTTTTTTCGTCCTTTTCCTTATTTCATCTTTTTCCCGTTTACCATTTTTCCTTACATAACCTCACTTTTTGTGCTCGAATTTGATTCCGGCTTTGCATGCATCCATTATATTTGATTTCCATGATAATTATATTTTTACTTTCATAGAAAATACATTCTAATTGCTTACTTTTTCATAAAGGGCATGGATGCATATTTTCTTGGAAACATTCTTGTTTTTGTGGTTTTAGTGTAATTATGTAAAATAATTATATTTCATCTTGAGGACCATTTTGTAATTTAATTTGGACGATATTTTGGAAAATGACCTTTTTTGTAATTTTTGAAAAAGTGTGACAAGTGTCACACTCTCATGGAGCCACTTGTTGGCATTAGGGTGGAATCACTTGGAAGCATAATCTTGTGACATATGGAGGTTGGAGATTCACCCACTTGTTAGCCTAGGATAGGTGCACTTGTTGGCTTGGATGGCTGATAAGTGTACGTGTGGGATAAAGCCTAGGAAGGAGTCATGGCTTAGTGACAAGTGTAGGCACCAAATTAAGTCTTGCAATTGTGTGTGTGAGAGAGGTAATGTAAGAGCACATAGTGAATGGAGGAATACTAGATCCTCCACTCACCACATTTCACTTTATCTCTTTTATTTCCTTTGTTCTCAAAACCTTAACCTAGCCACCATTAGAGAAAAGCTTGGTTTAAAGCTTATTTCTTCAATTTGGCCTCTTTCCACTCACCTTAGACCATTAACCTTGGGAAGTAAAAGTTTCCTCTCACTCTCCTCTATAAAACCCTAGTTTTATTTTCCATTTTACGCTTAGTTGCTTTGGATTATAAAGATTCAATTCTCTATTGAGGTAGGGGTGGTAGTATGTTTATATTTTAAGTGTTTTATAATCATTTGGGGTTTAGTATATATTGTGTACATGCTTTTAGAATTGTAGTATTGCATATTATAGGAAATCCTTATAATTGACTTAGGATTTATTGATTTAAGCATGTATGTTTTGTATGTATCTTGAGTAGGATTATTAATGTTATATAGAACTCTTATTGATTTGAATTACTATACTATTATGGTGATAATTCTACATTCTATTTTATTACTATTGGTAATTGTAATTATTTTAGAAGCTTATTACTATAATGTTGTAACCTAATATATAAAGCTTATTATTGAGGCATGTTTAAATTGATAAGTTGGTGGTATTATATTGCACATTATATTATGTTAAGGACTTGTCATTTATTATGCCATTTTAGACTTGGAATCCTAAGTTATGGTTTGTATGGTTTCAAAATACTTGTGCATGGAATGTGGTTTATATGCCTTAAATTGTTGTATATAAGTTTTGAACTTGATATATTTTGGATTCTCTCGAGACATTGTTACAAGTGACTTGGCTAGAGTTTGGCTCTAGAACGGAAGATAGAAAGTTCCCTATAATATAATGCGCACTAGCGGTGGTATTACCAGCGGGTTAGTGCCTAAAATAACCGTTTAAATCTTGGTTCATTCTGAGATTTGATGTCCAAGTTTTCCACTATTTGATTTCGCATTCAATTCCAAGCTGACAACTAATGCTTAATTGTAACTTGTAATTTTTGAAATTGATGTTGTGAAGTACATTGATATTGATTTTGTGTTGCTAAAGAATCATTTAAGTTAGCTTAAGATGATCCCTTAGAACACCTTAAACATAGACATAAAGTGGAATGATCCCTTGTCTTCGTCTATATTAATCTTGCAATGATATTGAAACTTTAGAGTGTACGTATATGATTCTTCCTACGAGTAACTTGATTACTCACCCTAGTTATGTGAGTTATTTTACAGGTTATGAGACAATGTTTTTAGATGCTCATCATCCTTAGGGGCTTATAAGCAATTTGAAACATTTTTGTATATTGACATGCACTTGTTTAACATGTTTTACTTTTGGTGTTATAATTTGGTATACCATAGATGTATGGTAATTTAGAAGCTAAGGTGGCTTTTTGAGGTGTAATGTGTATCTAAGTACTCATTTTTATGCTCACCTTGTATGTATGACATGAGGTCAAGGGCTATTAACTTTAAACGTTATAAGTATGCTTTCTTTAAAACTCAAATATTGCCACTGTAACCTATTTTGTGAGAATTTGAGGTTTGGTATGTCCAATTTTATAAATGGATTGTAATGATGCCGTAGGCCATTGTAGCACAACTACTTTATCATATTACGTATGCGTACATGTTCAATTTGGCACACAACACCATTCTTGATGAAATGAATACTTAAAGTTGCATTTTTTTTTGAATTTTCACCCTTTTTCTAATCCAAGGGAATTTTAGGAATTTCACAATGTGTTTTTATTTGTTTTCGTCCACGTTGCTAGTAGAAAACTCAATTTCGGCGGGGGCGGGGGGGGGGGGTTCTTCTTCGTGTTTTTTTAGAAAATGTCATCTTGGCCCTCAAAAACCTTTTTGTTTTTCGTAAACCCTTGCTGCCAGGTTTTTGCTGAACTGTAGTACAAGTGTACGGGTCAAGTGTACGGGTGGAGGATCTCGTAACCGGTTACATATGCATGGGTAGAATATCGGTCATTCTATTTTTTCCTCCTAACCGGTTAGATGGTCTAGGTTTGACCCTTTTTGACCTTTTTACCCTTTTTCTTCCGTTAGCCATATCTTCTTCGTTCGGATTCCGAATCAAGTGATTCTTGAGTCTAAGTTTATTAATTTTTCATTATCTTTCCAATGGTGTGTACGGTAGCACCCAATTTATTTTTAAAAATAACATTTTTACCCCTAGGTTCTTTCTTATCCGTTTTTTAAACGTTAATTCCGCATTTATTTTCTTTCCGTGACCTCATTGTGGGTCATATTGGTGTCTTAGAGACGTGTTGTATCTCTAGAGACTGTTGTTTCACCTTCCGCTTCCGCATTTCGTATCCGTTATTGGGTCATCTATTGGTCATCGCTGATGCACCGGGTTTACAAAACTTAGGCTGTACAACTTTTATGGCATGCATGGTAGTCACACTTTCGATCATTCACAAGGTCTTGTAGGCACAACTCACAGGTTAGTAGTGTATTGACAAAGTTACAGAGATAGCTTTTGAGGAGGTTCCATTTTACTATGTTAGGACTGATGGAGGTTTGAGGTACAAAGGGCGTTTAGTAGTACCTTCTGCTGATGATTTGAGGAAGGACGTGATGACTAAGACTCAGTGTTCTGAGTTTTTTGTTCATCCAAGATAAAATAAAATGTATCAGGATATGAAGCGACAATTTTGGTGGGCAGGTATAAAGAAAGACATTGTTATTTTTGTCTCTAAGTGTAGTACTTGTCAGATGGTCAAGATTGATCATCAACGGCCACCAGGTTCTCTACAGCCACTACCTATACCAGAGTGGAAATGGAAGAGCATTTCTATGGATTTGTTGAGAGATTGCCAAATTCATTTAAGGATTATAAATTCATTTGGGTCATCGTTGATAGGTTGACCAAATCAGCTCATTTCTTGCCTATTCGTACTAATTACACTTCAGAACAATTGACGAGACTTTATATAACAGAGATTATGAAGTTGCATAGCATACCATTATATATTATATCGGATAGGGATTCGAGCTTTGTATCGGGATTCTGGAAGAGTTTTCAGCAGGCTTTGGGTACCAAATTGCATCTTAGCACTGCTTACCATCCTCAAACTGATGGACAGACCAATTGGGTTAATCAGATCATGGAAGATATGTTTCGTTCTTATGTCCTTAACTTGGAAGGACTATTTGCCACTTGTGGAGTTTATATATAATAATAGCTTTCAGAAGACTACTGGTATGGCACCGTTTAAAGCATTATATGGCCGACCTTGTAGATCTCCTGTTTGTTGGATGGAGGTTGGTGAGAGGAGGTTTTTGGGCCCTGAGTTCATTAAGGATACCTCTGAAAAGATTGCTCTTATTAAGGATCGGATGCATACTGCTCAGAATAGGCAGAAGAGTTATGCAGACCGTCGTACTCATGCTTTGGAATTTCAGGTGGGAGATCAGGTTTTACTCAAGGTGTCTCCTAGGAAAGGAGTAATGCGCTTTGGGAAGAAAGGGAAGTTGTTACCACATTTTGTCGGTCTTTTTATGATTACGGATTGAATTGGAGCAGTGGCTTATCACTTAGCACTTTCGGACCATTTAGATCGTGTCCACAATGTGTTCCATGTTTCCATATTAAGGAAATTTCTTCGTGATGAAAATCGTTATCAGCATATTGATGTTGGTGAGATTGAGTTGCAGCCGGATGTAACCTATGTGGAACCACCGTATCGTATTATTGACCGTAGGGATCAGATTCTTCGTAATAAGGTCATCCCTTTGGTACGTGTCCAGTGGAGTTATCACAATGAGGCTGAATCTACTTGGGAATAGGAGGACATCATTCGCTTAACCTTTCCAGACATAATAGATGAAGGTAAAGGCGAATTTTGAGGATGGAATTCCCTTTGTTAGGAGGGAAGAATGTAATACCCCTAATTTTAGAAAGATAGTCACGATATTTTATTAATTTTTTTTAATTGTGTTTTTATTTTTATTTGATTAATTGGTTATTTGTTTAATTGTTTAAATGAATTAATTGATTATGTGTTTATTTGAAAATACTTGTTTAGTTGAATTATGTGTTAGATGATGTGTATTTGTTTACGTAAATGTTAGGTGTTTTCTGTAATAAATGATTAGGAATTAAATGTTTTAAATGGTTTTTTTATTTTATTTTATTTTTATTCTAATGGTTATGGATAGTAGTCATTGGCCAACCAATTGGGTTCCATGCACTACTTGGATAAGGGGTTTAATAAGTATGGATAATTATCCATGGATAGGATATATGTATATATATATATAAATAAATATACATATATATATAAGGAAAGTCTATTAGTGATAATCTGATGTATTTATTTTATTTATATAAAAAGAGTATACATAGATTATACATAATATATTTTAGTTACCTTTTTAGTATTTTATTTTTATTATTTTCTTTATTAATTTGAGGTGGATTGGGAAAAGGAGTAGGGTTATTTATTTAGCCTATAAATATATAACTATAGGGTTGGAAAGGGGGACTAGAATTATATCACGTATTATTTTAGAGAGAGAGAGAGAAAGAAGGAGGAAGAAGGAAGATGAAGAAGAAGGAGGAGGTTAGGGTTTTAATCAAATCCTTAAAGGCAAGTTCTTGTTCTACACTTCTCCTTTGATCTGTGGAATTTATATCTCTAGTATAATCTTAGGATTATTTAAAGAACAATTAAAACTAGAATTTATAATTTAATTGATCTAAACATAGGTTCTATAAATTATATTTTTCATAGTTGTTCTTGTTGTAGGAATTGATAAATTCTTTGATCGATTTGATTTCTTTATGAGTTTATACATGTTTTAAATGATGTATTTTTCATATCTGAGTATTAATGGAACCTAGAAACATGTCTTAGAATCCTTACACAGTAAATAATAAGTTCACAGTAAAATTCTACGTTGAGTCGTGTAGCAATGCTCGATCCGCTGTTACAGTGCTCGAGCCTTGGGGGCAAAGCTCGAGTTATGGATGAAAAGTTCGAGCCTAAAAAGAAAAGCTCAAGCAATTGGACGAAAAGCTTAAGCCTGAAAGGAAAAGCCGCCTGGCACAAAAGCTCGAGCCTTACCGGGGGAAGTTTCGTAAATAGCGTTAAATTACTTTTAATTGAATTTAAGGAGTCCTAAACATCAAATCAGGACTAGGAATTAGTTTAAATAAATTTTGAATAAACTTAAATATATCAATGCATGCTATTTGAAATTTTTGAGGAATGAATGGATTTAATCTTTATTTTTGTTCTAACAATTAAGATTAAATATGTAGCATGAATTGTATTTGGAGAATGCTTACTTGACTGAATAGTAAAATATCAGCATGTTTAAGATTCAGTTTGTGTAGGATATATGATATAGGAAGTTTAAATAAATTATAAGTCGTTCCTATTTTGTGATAACGTGATATTATATTATTGTATTTATTTATCGATTATTTGATGTATTTCTTTAATTGTTACATCAACTTTTGGATTGTGTGGATGTAGTGCACTAGTATGGGATGGTGGTACGCTAGGGATGAATTAACTTATCAGTTAAGTCCTACCTACTTTATAAGGGAACAGATTAACTAAAATATTAAGTCCTACTTATATTTGTGTCAGATCAACTAACAAGTTGGATGATACATAGTGGATTACTTTAGATTGGATAGAATATTATATATATATATATATATATATATATATATATATATGGACATATGTCATGATATGAGTTTGAGTCTCAGGAGCAGTGGATAGGGGGCGTATATTGCCAAGGATATGTAGCTAACTATAGTGTGGTTGTGTGCCCTGGTAGGTCTAGGTACTCATACCCACTATATGTACGTTTTGCATGTTGTCTACTATTCAGGTTGAGGCAACCCTATAGTCCAGTGAGATTCTTTTAGTGTGTATATGTATTATGGACTATATAGTTATTGCATGGGTTAGCTATAGATATATATATAGTTTCTCCGATCTTTATTTAGGTTGTCGTAGAAAGAACTTATTCGTGGGCCTGACCCACTATTATTATTTTTCAGGTGTTCGTCAATTTCTGACATAGAGCTTGTTCGTGCTAAGCAGAGATAGTCCACGTCACTCTTCCGGTTCTACGTAAGATTCTCTTTATGTTTTAGTTTCGGATTATGTTTAATTTCAGTTGTTTCAGTTGGGTTTATCATTAGGGGTCCACTAGATGGATTCCCGAGTTGTAATGATATTAAAGGTTTTGGATATTTCATTTGGAGGATTTATTATTTAGTTTTCTTTTTTGCTATTTTATTTATTCTCAATTATTTCTTTTGTAATCAAATGCTTGTTTATATACTTAATTGTTTGGTATCCCTCGAATCTGTGCTCGGACTTGATCACCAGTGGCTCTAGAAGCGAAGGGTATCACATATATATGCTAAGGATATGATTAATTTGAGTGTTAGATAACCTATATGTTATTTCATTGGATAAATGGATTAATTTAATTGTCTAAACAATGTAAATTAATGCTTAAGTAATTATTAAATAATAATTATGAACCTTGTATAATTTATCTGAGATGTAGGTTAATTACTTGGAATGTAAGTTAATATTATTTTTTTTTATTTTATCCACTCGCAATAGAATGAATCCTTGTAGGATAGCACTATCTAAAGAGGGTTGAACCCACAGGGAGATGAGTATTTATATTTGGCTTTTAATTAATTCGATGGTTTACAGGTAACTGGTGAAACTGTTTGATTGATTGTCACGATTAACAACTGAAATTAAACTAAAATTAAGCTAAATTATACTAAGTTATCAGAGAGAGAAAGGTCTTAGGGCTTTGACTTCCTCACAATCATCATATGATGGCGAGTTGTTTCAACTTTGGGATTTTTACAAGTTATGTTTTAAATGAATTGAACTCAATAACATTCGTTCAATTCGGGTTTTAAAGAAAGATGTTCTATAAAATTTAATTAACTATAACCTATCTGCTGTTAGCATGGACTATCCACCTACCTACTCTAACTATTTTAACTACTTTGCAAATAATCCATCTTTCATAAACGTAAACTGTGAAAACATTTTTTTATAAAAACGTTGAAATACCATTATATGACCTCTATTCTTACGTCCGGCAGGACTCCACTAGATACCGTCCAATAAGATAGGTTAAGAATAGAAAACAAACCATTATATCTAAGACAAGGTAATAACAATTTGAAATCTATTTAAAACATTAAATCCAATTGAGTTATCTCAATTGCTCATAGTCATATAATCAAAAACATAATATACATTAAAAATATCCCAGAGTTACGAATAATCAAACCATAATACTAGATTGGGTTATATCAGTGCCCTAAGAGAGGAATTAGCTACTCATGACAATGTCGGATGTCATCTGTGTTGGATTCGTCTCCATCGTCATTGACGGCACTTCTCTTCTCAGGATCTTCACCTTCTAAGGTTATGGAAACCTAAAAAGTTGTCACCACAGTATCAGCCTTCTAAAACAATACGAGAAAAAATAGGGCTTCTTCTATCAAGGCTTATGCATTCTGTTATAGAATAAAATAAAGGCTTGGTGGGCTTTTAGGTCTTCTGGCCCATCTGGAATGAGACACATCTTGAAAAGAGAACATTCTCCTAACTTAAGTCTGACATGTCATGGAAGGCTCGAGCTTTGGGAACAAAGGCTCGAGCTTTAAGGTTCAGGCTCGAGCTTCTTTAAATTAGTGCTCGAGCCTCAAGGATTGGTGCTCGATTTTCACTTTGACACTTAGCCAAATTTCTTCAATTATTTTTCACAGCGTCTTTTTCTTTAACACTTAGAATATTCTTGGGCTTCATCTTTTTTAACATTGCTCGATCCAAGCTTTATGGGCTTGAGCACTAAGTACCAGGCTCGAGCTTTAGGGACACAAGGCTTGAGCTTTGTGTAATGGTGCTCGATCCTTGAGGTTAGGCATGAGGTCTGAGATCTTGGAAATCAACTCTTCAAATTCTGGCGCCTTATGCTAGAGTTTGGAGGTCAAGGCTCGAGCACCCTTGGTGAGGCTCGAGCACCAATAGTTGGGGCTCAAGCTCCAAGGTACAAGGCTCGAGCTTCAATACCTTGTTGACTTTTCTTCTTTGACTTTTAAGGCTCGAGCCTCAAGACTAAGGCTCGAGCTTTAGATTTTGAATTCTTCCAAACTTCACCATTTAAGCTCTCGGCTTGCTCTAAATGACCGGCAACGACTCTGTAAACTTCGATATCATCATAAAGTCCCGGTTTTAACCGTTTCTCTGGGAAAGTACCTATAAACACACATTAAACATAAATCAGTCTAATAATGGATAGAAGTATCACTTTAGGCCTTAACATACGTATATTTAAAGGCTTGAGTATCAAATATTCAGCGCTTATCAGTTAACTACATGCTATTTAAATTGTTATATTTGCTTAAATAAATACAAATGAAGTTGTTAAATGGATAAATTGATTAATTTAATTGTTTTAACAATCAAATTAAATGTTTAAATCATTTTATTCATGGTTATGAGTTTTATATAATTTATCTGAGATGTAGGTTAATTACTTGAAATGTAAGTTAACAACATGCTATTTAAATTGTTGTATTTACTTAAATAAATGCAAATGATTATTTGCATGATTTATATCATGCTATGTATGGATTAGTTAATGTACTATTTTATTTTGTGCATCATTTATTAGACTGTATGATTTATTGCACCGGTATGGGACGGTGGCATTCTAGGGACGGATTAACCCAAGAAGTTAAGTCCTACCTATATATTTATAGATTGTATGGTTTAATGCACCGATATGGGACGGTGGCATTCTAGGGATGGATTAACCAAAGAAGTTAAATTCTACCTATTTATTTATAAGGGAATAGATTAACCATAGAGTTAAGTCCTCCTTATTCGTGGTAGGCCACTATATCAGATGGATGACATTTGTTCTATACTTATATGGATTTTATATATATGATTATGGTGCCATGATATGAGCTTGAGTCTCAGGATCATGGTTAAGGTGCATATATTACCAGGGATGTGTAGCTAGATATAATGTAGTCGTTTCCCTGTAGGTCTGGGTACTCATGCCCACTTTATGTGCGATTTACATGTTACCCACTATTCAGGTTGAGACAATCCTATAGTATAGTGAGATTCCTATAGTGTTTATTTATATATATATACAGACTACTAGTTATTGTTTGATTGATTATGATGTATACGTGTATCGAATCTCTACTTGGAATGTAGTAAAGTAGAACTTGTTTGTGGGCCTAACCCACCATTATTTTTCAGGTGTTCGTCAAGAGTAGAGGTTGTTCATGCTGAGTAGGGATCAGTCTACTTCATTCTTTCGATTCTACATAGGAGATTCTTTTATGTTTCGTTATTCAGTTGTAAACAGTTATTGCTGTCATTTGTTCAGATGGGATTTTCTAGGGGTCCACATAGTATAGATTCTCGAGTTGTATTAATGGAGGATTTATTGTATCAGAATGATTTTTATTATTAATGGAAATTTATTCTGAGATTTAGTTATTGAATTATTATTTTAGTTTTCTTTCAGCAAATGATTTATTCCTATTTTATTCTTTTTGTACTCTATGTTCGTTTATTGCCGATTTGTTTTGATATCCTCGGGTATTCGGGTATGGGCCTGGCCAACCCGCATTCGAAAATCTGGGGATATCACAGTTGGTGTGAGAGAACTCTAGGTTCAAGTGTCCTTAGGAGTGTCTTTCGTTATGTAACTTTCGCGTTGCGCCTCTTAAAACTTAGAGCCCATAATAGGATTCGTTGTACTCTATTTACGATTCACTAAGAGGAGCTGATATCAATTATATTCTACAGTCACAAAATGGTTGGCACTAGGAGGAGGATTGGATTCAAGGCGAAAGCAATAAAGACCTAAAGAAGTAAAGGAGTACGTTATCGATTTTTTTGCCAAAAGGCAGAATTAGGGATCGAAGGTTTAGTTTCGGATGGCGTTACTTTAAAATATAAGCCAAGAAATGATTGAAGTGTTTGTCATAGGTCACTGCATCTTGGGGCCTACACAACTTCAGTTATTCTTAAAAAGGAGAAAAACGAAGAGGATGAGCCCGAAAAGGATCCTAATAGAGGAGATTTCAGAGTATCCAATAAAGAAGGTACTAAATCTTCTAGAGGAATGATCGCAAGATAGTGATCTTATTTGCTAGTAGAATAGCAAACGATACTAGTAGAGTTGGTGTTGATCAATCTACATATAGTTAAACTTTCTTATCATCTCTAAAAGAGATATATAAGAAGTACTCTTCAAGAGTTTGGGGATCGGATGGAGTTCATATCAAAATGAAATACATGATTTTATATCACATACAGGAGAGTATTGGTATTATGTTGTGATGTTCTAATTCACTTTATAAAGCCAAGTTAAACAGTTTAAATTCAGTGTATAAGGAGGATAAGGGTTAAGCCCTTGATATTTGCTTAGTCAAACATTTGTTGCTTTTGAGCTATGTTTTAAAGGATATGTTTTGAGGTTGGATAATTTCCTATGACACTATAAAAGGAAATTGTGTGAAACAATTTTTACAAATTGTTTTTAGAGGAGATTTTCCCTTGAAAGAACGATGTCCTAAGTAGGAGTATAATTTGTGGTATTGTGTTTGTTATACGTGTTTTATTTTCGTTAACTATTCGGGATTCGGTATGTGGTTTAGTTGGGGACACAAGTATGCGATCAACCAACTACTGTTTTTACACCATGGGGTAACAGCGCTATTCTTTTACGCTAAGATATGAGTATGTGGTCATAGGATTTGGTAGACATACATAATTCTAGCCAATCTACTGGACCTCGACATGCGTCATTATGGTATGTTATTTGGGATAAGATAGTTAAACCATCACTACGAGTCAAATAATCTAGTACGATTAGTTTAATATATTACGCTAGGTCTGGATACATATCATATTATAGTACCATGATAATGGTGGTTGTTAATGTTTCGGTATTCATGAGGTTGTGGTAAATAAAGATCATTGTAACATCACGATGGTTTATCGGAGGTGTCGGAGTTGCAAAACATCTTCTTGGAAATTTCAGAAGTTGTCACCAAGTCCGAAGGAGGATTTAGTATTGGTTTAAGTACTTAATAGAATGACACTGAGTAAGGACAGTAGACTGAATGAATCTTCATTAGTCTATTCTTAAACAGGAATTTATTCACAAGGATGTGTCATTAGGAGGAGTTGCCGATGTTGCACATGGAGGAGAAAATTAAGTTTTATTCACTTGCATAAATAATATGGAATTTTTTTTTAGGTCAAAATTCGCAACAATTAGTTTTTGCTGGGAAATTGATAAATTATTTGGAGGATGGAAAGGTTTTATATTTATTTGATGTTAAATAAGAAGTCTGATTGACACTTACTTTTTCATTAAAGAAACAGGGTGTGTCAAAGATAGGAGGATGAGACCGATCACCTATATATAAAAAAGAGGATGCACGGTGTATATGGAAAGGTCATAGTTTGTTGACTTTTGTTGAGTTAAAATGATAGTTGACTTTTGATGAATGGAATTACCTGTTGACTTTCAATATCGGTAAGTTTATCACAGATTAGTGGCCCATGGATTTAGTTGCAGAGTTAGCTTTTGAAGATGCTCCAATTTAAACACTAGGTACAGATGAAAGCTGGTGGTACCAGACTAACGGTACTTTCTGCAGACAAATTAGAAA